CTGGGGATGTAGAGGACCCGCTCGGCTACGACAAAGCCGACGGTGAAGAGGAGGTTGGTGGCTGGCAAGAAAGGAAGGACCATCAGTGCTAGCCCCAGCAGCAACGTCCTGCCTTCCTGATCCTGCGGGAGACCTTGGGGTTAGTTATGACCACAGGAGAGAGAGAGTTATGGTGTCATACAGACTTAACAAATGAAGTATTAAGATTGACAAGAGAGAAAGAGGGTGAGGAGGAAATATTCAGTATTGTGAAGTGAGGGAATGAGAGTGATGGGTGAGGGGGAGGGTTGACGTGACAGGGACGACGGGAAGGGATGATGGCCAAAAAATGGACTTGTCCTATGTAAATGATGGAACAGAGAGAGAAATGACAGTATAATGAAGAGGGTGGAGAGGCTTGGCTCAGTGTGTGTTAGAACAAGGGGAGTGAGTCATTGTGAGAGAGAATGTTGTAGGTGGCACAATAATTGATAATTTCCTAGTTGGGACGGATTATTGAAGAGGAGTAGGAGAGAAGAGGGTGATGAGAGTGAACAGAAGAATGTTTACAAAAAATAGTATTTAGCAGGTAAAGGTAAGTAACAAAGCTGACTCACTACAGGTAAAGGTAAGGAACAGGACTGACTCACTTCAGGTACAGGTAAGGAACAGGACTGACTCACTACAGGTAAAGGTAAGGAACAAAGCTGACTAACTACAGGTACAGTTACAGTAAAAAACTGACTCACTGCAGGTAAAGGTAAGGAACAAAACTGACTCACTCCAGGTAACGGTAAGGAACAAAACTGACTCACTACAGGTAAAGTTAAGGAACAAAACTGACTCACTACAGGTACAGGTAAGTAACAAAACTGATTCACTACAGGTACAGGTAAGTAAGAAAACTGACTCACTACAGGTAAAGGTAAGGAACAAAACTGACTGGCTACAGGTACAGGTAAAGTACAAGACTGACTCACTACAGGTACAGGTAAAGAACAAGACTGACTCATTATAGGTACAGGTACAAAACAACACTAACTCACTACAGGTACAGGTAATGAAGAAAAGTGCCGCCCCTTGAGAATGAAGATAACGAAAAAATAATGAGAGAAAAGAAAGTTAAATATCTAACGAGGAATCAGTCCAGGAAGATGAGAATGATAACAGGGAGATGGGAGAGGATGATAACAGGGAGATAAGATTGATAACAAGGAGGTAAGAGAGGGCGATAATAAAATGGGAGAGGAGTTTGAGCAATAACAGGAAGAAGAACAGAGGAGTGTGAACAATAACAGGAAGAAGAACAGAGGAGTGTGAACAATAACAAGAAGAACAGAGAAGTATGTGAACAAAGGCACAGATGGACTTTAAGTTTTGAAAGGTATGCAGAACAATTCCTGAAGCTATAAATGTCTTTAAAGTGAGGTACACGAGATAATTCCAGCATTATTCACTTTACATATATACGTGTTCTAAGTAGAACCACAAACTTAGGTCATTTGCTCAGGCGATACGTTCCAATCTAAGTAAAAATAAGGTTTATGTTTACTACAGTATAAGTAGCAGAACGTCTATAAGTATTCTAAGTATCATAAGTATAGATAAACACACTTATAAGCTCACCTTCCTGCAGCACCCGGCTCTCAACACCAGCAGGAGGGCAGAGTAGAAGAGGAGGGAGGCGACGTTCCTGGGGTCGGTGAAGGATGTGACGAGAGGGATGGAACCCATTTGCCAGTCGTGAGCCAGCCTCCAGGGGCACAACAACAGCCACACGTTCACCGCCGGCAGGTACAAGAACGTCAACACCCTACACCAGGAGAGAATGTGTGTATGAGAGAACATCAACACCTTATATCAGGAGAGAACGTGTGTGTTAGAGAACATTAACACCTTATACTGGGAGAGAACGTGTTTGTTAGAAAACATCAACACCTTTTTCCGGGAGAGAACGCGTGTGTTAGAAAACATCAACACCTTATACCGGGAGAGAACGTGTGTTAGAAAACATCAACACCTTATACCGGAAGAGAACGTGTGTGTGTTAGAAGACATCAACACCTTATTCCGGGAGAGAACGTGTGTGTGTGTGTGTTAGAGAACGTCAACACTGTCACGTATTCATGCGGGGGTGGAATACATGTGTTTCTTTTCTTTTTTACCATATGGCATCACAAAATTGTGACCAAGTCCCAGGTTGCTGATCTGACTTTCTGCCTCATTTACACACAATTGCAGGGTCTCAATTGTTTCTTTTTCTTTGACAACACAACATACATATATTGTGTCTCACTCATGACCTTTTTTCTTTTTTGTATTTATTTGATTATTATTATTATTATTATTATTATTATTATTATTATTATTATTATTATTATTATTATTATTATTATTATTATTATTATTATTATTATTATTATTATTATTATTATTATTATTATTATTATTATTATTATTATTATTATTATTGTTATTATTATCATTATTATTATTATTATATACTCCCCCCGTCCCCAGGCCCAGGAGATTATGGTGTATCACAACGTAGAAATTCACTACACCCGATATTCCATGTGATTTACACTTGATAAATAATGATTTAATGAATTCAATTAATTTCTTACATCCAAGTTATTTGTTATACTTTGTCATAACCAATTAATCATTTACATTTACTAATAATAAGATAGGGACCACAGATAATTTATATATGATTGTACTTACATTTATTTGGCAAGGTTCCATACTCTAATTTACAATCTGCAAGGAGATATGAGCCACTTCTATGTCACAATAAAAGTAGTTTGGTAAAGAGGAAGCTTCCAATCTGGGGACCCCACATTTAATTACACTGTTATGAGTTGGCTTACCAGAGCCTTAACGCCTCATCTGATGCATTCACTTTGCTGGGGAATATAACCACTTAGGTTCACTAGGCCAGCTTGGATCGATCTTGTTGCAAACAAGCCTTCACAAGTTATTTTTTTTTATGGGGAATAATAAAGCCTTGGGTTTGGCATACATGTAGTCTCGCGTCACCCACAGTCATATCGAGAGTGTTGCGCAAGAGAATTACTGAAGGCGATTTGGGGTTAGAACACACACAGTCTCTTTTCACTGAGTCCTCAGGACGGTGTCGCGGCAATGGACTCTGTGCGGCGCCCAGCTCTTCCCTGAATTAAGGCATGGTCTGGGGCCGACTGGCTAAAATATGGTTGTGGCGGGCGTGAGGCACGGTCAACAATACAGCACTGTTCTACTGGGCCCCAAAACTTAGCTCACATACCTCGAGGCACAAATGGAATCTTGATAACGTAGTCATGCCTAGCCGGTGGTCTTATCTTTAATAAAACAAACATTGGAGTACAGTTTCCTGAGGCAGGCCTAGCAGGCCTGGCGCAACCCATGACAATATCTTATACCAAGGGAGAATGTGTGTGTGTTAGAGAACTTCAACATCTTATACCAGGAGAAAACATGTGTGTTAAAGAACGTCAACACGTTATACCAGCAGAAAACGTGTGTGTTAGAGAACGTAAACACTTTATACCAGGAAAGAACGTGTGTGTGTAAAAAGAACGTCAACACCTTATACCAGGAAAGAACGTGTGCGTTACAAAACGTTAATACCTCATACAAGGAGGGAACGTGTGTATTAGAGAACGTCTACACCTTATGCCAGGGGAGAACGTGTATGTTAGAGAACGTCAACACATTATACGAGGGGACAACGTGGGTCTTAGAGAACAAGGGAGTGAGAGAAGGACGCTACTGTACCTTGTTAAGAGGGAGGGAGAAAAGGACGCCGGGTTGTCTTGGTCGCTGAAGACTGGAGAAGATCCTCTCAACATCCAGACACGGAAGACCAAGATGACGGCTCCCTGTGTGTCCACAAGAGTTGCACTGTTAATTATTTACGAATTTTACGCTATTATTTTGTTATTTTGTCACATTTGTTTGTGTTATATTTCTTAAGTATATTATTAGATAATATTCTGTGAAGTACTGCATATATATATATATATATATATATATATATATATATATATATATATATATATATATATATATATATATATATATATATATATATATATATATATATATATATATATATATATATATATATAAGTGGGTCAGTAAGGCAGTAAGAAAACCCGCAAGGAAACACAGGTTTAAGGTAGTCTCTTCCGTAACGTTGCGTCCCTTGGCCTTGTTAGCAAAGATTGTCAAGTACAAAGAGAAACAACACAGGATTAAATATCAGGTCCATCCTCCTGGGCGGCTCCTACCTGGCTAGTGGGGCAGATTGCGAAATTTATGGTGCTGTACTATTACTGTACATAGGAAACCCGTGAGCAGTGATAACTGTATTTATTATCCATCTGCCCACAGTAAAGGGACAAGACAGGCGTGGAGAGTGTTCTTTTAAGGTCCATCTTAATATGCAGTGGTGAATATCTGAACGAGGAACTTAGGTATATCGATCGTATTCAAGAAAGTGGAGCGTAGGGTATCCCATAGGGAATTACTACTATATCAAGGTTAATTTTGCACAAGAAATACCATAGAAGAAAATAGACTCAGAGTTTAATTCAACACGAGAAGAAATTAGTCACCCAAACCTAACGATTACTGTAAATTCTAAAGAGTTACTTGGTAAAACTCAGAAATAGGTGCACGATATAACGGGCAACATTAAAAACTTTTCAATTGAAGAAAAAAATCTTTCCTCAAGCACATCCCAAATATTTTAGAAGAATCAATTTCTACCAAACCTAACCTAACCAAAAAAAAAAAACCCTAAGGAACCAGACCTGATGACTCTCACACTCGTATATCAGGGTACATGACTTTTCCAACCTAACTTAACATCCTGGTCAAATAAGTAGCCTACACTCTGCCCAACAGGGAATTCCCGGCTAGGTAGCCAGTGTCCATTCAATTAACTGGTGAAAACCATCCATCCTGGTGACTAAAGATAAATTTTGGTTCAACATTTAGGAATTTTGGAAACTGACAGTTTCAGCACATATCCTGGCATACGAGAGTAATTCTGATTAATTTCTAATCGTTCATGACCAACGAAATTTATTATATTTCTCCAAATATAAGTAAAGTATAGTGCCCATAAATTGCACCCTCAAGCATGCATAAATCGATCTTCAGACAGCAAACCATCACCTGAATGTTCTGGTAAGAGATTTATAACAGTAATTCCTTTCATAAATATTATTGTTTTTTAAACACCAATGGCGTTCTTAAATATTAGCCAAATTTCTTCCTTTATAATAAAAAAGAAGTCGATTATATTCCAACACATACTACATATACTCTTAGATCATAGTACTCGTAAATATCCGAATATCCATTCGCATTCAATGCGTCGTGGGCTTTCACTGCGCTTCTTGAATACCAACAGTAGGCATTGCCTATAGGGTTACCATGGGCTCCACGTTCTGGAATACGGCAGCGTAGCAGTAGCATTTAAAAAGTTAAAGTACATCGAAAGTTTGATTGCTAGATTGAAAAATAATGTTTTCAAGATAACAGCTATGCGCTGGTGCATAAATAGAAACAAAACCCGATGACCATACAGGAATAGCTCCTCCAAAAAGTGGTGATAAATATTATTAACTAGTCTGTAATAAAAGTACCGTAGGCGATTTTGTGAAAACAAAACGAAGACGCACAGCAATGAACAGAGTGTAGTATACGAAATCCTATGAACTGGGTGATGATCAGTATATTATGGCGAGTGAGGACGTGCCTGACACAGAAGCTATATTACGTTCAACATACACAATTATCATCGCCAGTAAGTTGGTATTTCTTGACTTATTTACTAAAAAGAATATAAGGGAAGTTGAACATAAGTCAATAAACATCGGTAAAGAAAAACTGTCTTTTATGTCACCAAAAAAGATCAAAGTCAAAGTCAAAAGTTGCGACAGTTTTAAATTAAGCTGAATTACAACATTAAAAGTTTCCACCATCCTTTAGGAACCGACACGAGGCGAGTACCTATAGTATGCTTTCTGTAGTGTGTGTGGTTCCTCACACAGACCCTCCACTACTCCTCAGCGTGTTTAGCTCCTCACCCAGACCCTTCACGACCCTTCTTCTTGTGTAGCTCCTCACCCAGACCCTTCACTACCCTTCTTCATGTGTAGCTCCTCACCCAGACCCTTCACTACCCTTCTTCATGTGCAGCTCCTCACCCAAACCCTTCACTACCCATCTTCATGTGTAGCTCCTCACCCAGACCCTTCACTACCCTTCTTCTTGTGTAGCTCCTCACCCAGACCCTTCACTACCCATCTTCCTTGTGCCAGCTCCTCCTTACACCCTTCACTACCCTTCTTCTTGTGTGGCTCCTCTGCCCAGACCCTTCACTGCCCTTCTTCATGTAGCTCTCATCAGACCCTTCACTACCCCTTCTTCATGTGTAGCTCCTCACCCAGACCCTTCCTACCCCTTCACTTCATGTGTGGCTCCTCACCCAGACCTTCACTACCCTTCTTCATGTGCTGGCTCCCTCCACCCCTGAGCCCTTCACTACCCTTCTTCTTGTTAGCGCTCTCCACCCAGACCCTTCACTACCTTCTTCATGTGCTGGCTCCTCACCCAGACCCTTCACTACCCTTCTTCCTTATGTAGCTCCTCACCCAGACCCTTCACTACCCTTCTTCATGTGGCTCCTCACCCAGACCCTTCACTACCCTTCTTCTTGTGCCCAGCTCCTCCCCCAGACCCTTCACTACCCTTCTTCATGTGTAGCTCCTCACAGACCCTTCCTGCACCCATCTTCTTGTGTAGCTCCTCACACAGACCCCTTCTGCCCTTCTTCTTGTGTGGCTCTCCACCCCAATTCCTTCACTACCCATCTTCTGTGTGTAGCTCCTCACCCCAGACCCTTCACTACCCTTCTTCTTGTGTAGCTCCTCACACCTGAACACTTCACCCTACCCTTCTTCATGTGTAGCTCCTCACCCAGACCCTTCCTCCCTTCTTCCATGTTAGCTCCTCCACCCAGACCCTTCACTACCCTTCTTCATGTGGCTCCTCACCCAGACCCTTCACTACCCATCTTCATGTGTGGCTCCTCACCCAGACCCTTCACTACCCCATCTTCATGTGTGGCTCCTCACCCCATTCCTTCACTAACCATCTTGTGTGCTCCTCACCCAGACCCTTCACTACCCTTCTTCATGTAGCTCCTCACCCAGACCCTTCACTACCCTTCATGTAGCCCAGCTCCTCACCCAGACCCTTCACTTTACCCTTCTTCTTTGTAGCTCTCACCCAGACCCTTCACTACCCCTTCATGTGCTTGCTCCTCACCCAGACCCTTCACTACCATCTTCGTGTGTAGCTCCTCCACCCAGACCCTTCACTACCCTTCTTCATGCCCCAGCTCCTCACCCAGACCCTTCACTACCCCATCTTCATGTAGCAGCTCCTCACCCAGACCCTTCACTGCCCTTCTTCTTGTTGTGGCTCCTCACCCCCAGACCTTCACTACCCATCTTCGTAGCCTTGGCTCCTCACCCAGACCCTTCACTCTTCATGTAGCTCCTCACCCCAGACCCTTCCTCCCCTTCTTCATGTGTAGCTCCTCACCCCTTAGACCCTTCACTACCCTTCTTCATGTGTAGCTCCTCACCCAGACCCTTCACTACCCTTCTTCTTGTGTAGCTCCTCACCCAGACCCTTCACTACCCTTCTTCATGTGTAGCTCCTCACCCAGACCCTTCACTACCCTTCTTCATGTGTAGCTCCTCCACCCAGACCCTTGCTACCCTTCATGTCATGTGCCTTCCCCCAGACCCTTCACTACCTTCTCTTGTGTAGCTCCTCATCCAGACACTTCACTGCCCTTCTTGTGTAGCTCCTCACCCAGACCCTTCACTACCCTTCTTCATGTAGCCTCACCCAGACCTCACTGCCCATCTTCATGTAGCTCCTCACCCAGACCCTTCACTACCCTTCTTCATGTGTAGTCCTCACCCAGACCCTTCACTACCCTTCATGTAGCTCACCCAGACCCTCACTACCTTCTTCTTGTAGCTCACCCAGACCCTTCACTACTTCTTGTGTAGCTCTCACCCAGACTCTTACTTTCTTGTAGCTCCTCACCCAGACATTTCACTACCCTCTATGTGTGCCCTCTCCCAGACCCTTCTGCTCACCATCTTCATTGTGTGCTCTCTCCCAGACACTCCACTACCCATCTCATGTAGCTCCCTCACCCAGACCCTTCACTACATTCATGTAGCCTCTCCCAGACCTCACTGCCCATCTTCATGTGTAGCTCACTCCAGACCCTTTCACTACCCATCGTCATGTGTAGCTCCTCTCCCAGACACTTCACGTTTCACAGCCCTCACCCAGACCCTTCACCATGTGTCTTCACTACCCTTCTTCTTGTAGCTTTCTCATCCAGACACATCCACTGCCCTTGTGTAGCTCCTCACCCCCAGACCCTTCACTACCCTTCTTGTGTGGCTCCTCACCCAGAACCACTTCACTGCATCTTCATATGGCTCCTCACCCAGACACATCTTTCACCCCTTCTTCCAGCTCCTCACCCAGACCCTTCACTACCCTTCTTCATGTGGCTCCTTCACCCAGACCCACTTCACTACCTTTTTCTTCATGGCTCCTCATCAGACCCTTCTTTCACCCTTCTTCATGTGTAGCTCCTCACCCAGACCTTCACTACCCTTCTTCATGTGTAGCTCCTCATCAGAACCCTTCCTACCCTTCTTCATGTTTTAGCTCCTCCACCTAGACCCCTTCCTACCCTTCTTCTTGTGTAGCTCCTCCCCCCAGACCCTTCACTACCCTTCTTCCTTGTGTAGCTCCTCCCTTTGAACCC